TGTGTGTGTGTGTGTGTGTGTGTTAAGTTTGAAAATCTACCTCTTTTTATTGAATGTAGCTTAACTTTCCTTTCCTTTTTACCAGTTAAATGACAATAGCTTACTCAAGATTCCTACTAACAGCTGATATGATTTGCATGCAGTTTGAATATGTCCTCCAAGATTCCCCGTGCTGGGGTTTCCTTCTTCACATCATGACACTGGAGGTGTTGCGAACCTGGAGGAAGCTCAGAGGTGTTTACAGGGCTTAGGTTGTGCCAGAAGAACTAGACTGGCACTTACTAACCCGTGATAAAGATAAGCCTGCCCTGAGGATTACTCCATTGCTATTTGTCCAGTGAGGTGACATGCTCCTCCCACATGAACTTCTCTCTTGTTAGACCGTGCATAACGAGATCCTCGTGGCAGAGGAGATGGTGACTGTGCCTGTGCCACATTAACGAAGCGGCTAACAGCAGCTATTTTCTTAAAACATAAAACAAGCCTGCCTCAAGTGGTCTTAAAGTCATAATACCAAGGGTAGCCAAACTATATTTTCTATTTTTCTGAAGCTCTACTCATACGCCTTACTTGTTCGTGATCTACATTGTAGGTCTGTATTCAATGCCATTGAGTCACAGTTCTCCTATCTGATCAGATACAGACCATTGACCAATTTTGAAATGGTTGTCTTAAAATTATACACATTACGACCAGATTCAATGGATCAATGGCTAAATCCTCGCTTTGCAGGTGCTGCAATCCCATGAAGGCACTGGTTCGTGTCCCAGTTGCTCCACTTCCCACCCAGCTCCCTGCTTTTGCCCTAGAGAAGCAGTAGAGGATAGCTAAAAGCCTTGGGACCCTGCATCCCTATGGGAGACATGGAAGAAATTTCTGGCTCCTGGCTTCAGATTTGCTTGCTCTGGCTTTTGCCGCCATTTTGTGAGTGAAGCTGTGAATGTGGGAACTTCCTCTCTATCTTTCCTTCTCTGTCTGAATCTGATCTGCTCTCCTTTATTCTGTAAATCTGATCTTCCTTTCCAATAAAAAAAAAACAAATAAATCTTTAATATCCGGCTGAATTACCTCTCATAAGTGGAGCTTACATGGAACACTCATAAATTATCAACATTCACTATCACAATTCTTTGACAACGCTACTTTTTAAAGAGCATGTCTGCTGCTCTGGAATAGTTATAAAGGAGGTAGCATCTATAGATACATCATTATTCTGTTATATGTATACACAAATAGAATCAAAACTAAGGAACAGAAAGTACATAGGTCGTTGGCAAGAGATTATATGCACTTATTTTCAATCATGCTTTTAAAAAATGCTGAGCAAGTAATTCACAGCATCTTATACAAAGCTGTCTTCTTTAGAGTCCAAGTCAGAACATAACAACCCATCATTGTTGTAGCTATCCAAACTTACTAACTTCCAGGTACCTTGTTAGGACATCCTGGGGTGGGATACCAGATTACAATAAGTTCTAGGTCAATCCAAACCTCATGATATCTGGACCTTTATCACAACATAATTAGCTATCTATACTAACATTAATATCAGTGCAATAGTACACATAGCAACTTATTCAGCTACAGGATCTTTGTTAACGTATGAAAACGCCTATATATAGTCAATAGATCAAAGAGGGTCCACTGCATTGAAATCTGGTTTTTATTTGTTTGGGTGGGAGATGGTTTGTTGCTAACATTCCATTCTGTTACTTTTTTTTTTCACACACAGACACCTTCCTCCACTAACATGAATTCCCTTAACCTTCTTTTACTGTCATTTCAATGCAAGTGGTATTGAACTTATGGATCAACTTTATATTTTGCTTCATTCTGATATGGTGTCAACCTCTCTCAGAAGAATATGCATACATATGACAGACACAGAATTTCAGTAGTTATTATGCTGAAAGCAGAGTGCTTTATGTGTCACTAGTAATCAGAATCAGCCAGAAGCAACGACTTGCGCATTAACCTCCATCAGAGCTTAGCATGGAGTGCATGGTTGTTTTAATCACCACTAGCTATGGAATTGAGAAAATCATTTATGCTGAGTAAGCCAAGAGTTAAACTATTTTGAAGGCACTATAATTATGCTGTACTATCTTAAAATAGTCTTAAAATATTCATGAGTATCATGCCAGATATTATAGACAGTCACCACAAATGAGTTGACAAGCAAGTAGGTATAGCGTAAAGAGTATAGGCTTTAAGCAAAGGAAAGACCTAAATGTCAGGATCTGCCTCCTCTGAGAAATGGGGGTCAAGAACATCCATGCTATCATTTTGACTGGATGATTTTTTAGTGACACATAAAAAACTCATAACAGCTTTCTAGCATTGAGGAGGGATAAAAGGTACGTTGAATATTGCCCAACTTTGTTATATTTTAAAAGCCTCATATAAGGTAAGCTAGAGAACTTAAAAAGCAAGTTTTATAATGTTTTAACATTATTTACTTTGAAACTAAACATGTTAAGTTAGGTTTTTCTGTAAGATGGATTCTGATCTTACAAAAGTAATAGATACATCAGTATCAAATGAGTGAAAGGGGTTAATATAGTACCCAGAGTTAGTACTCAGGATCACAGACAGAAACCACAGGATGTATGTGACAGGGTGCGTCCTGCTTAACATGAAGATGCTTTCATTGCATACAGTACTTTTCTCACCTTATGAATCTGAACAATGCTAATGAATGAAATAATAGTAATGATAAAACTCCTTAAAACACAAATAATTGTAGCATGGCATATTGCTACCTTCCCTGCAGGGCAGGCCCTGTTGGAGCACATGTTCAAACCCTGGCTACTCTGCTGCTGATAAGGCCTCCTGCTAATGCTCCTAGGACAGCAGAGGAAAATGACCCAGATTCTTAGTCACCTGCTGCTCACATGGGAAACTGGGGCAGAGTTTCTATATTTGCTTTGGCTTAACCCAACCAAGTCCTTGGAACCATATTGGGAGTGGACCTTCAGATGGAATATTTCTCTCTCTCTTACTGTCCTCCTCCCTTTCCTAAAAAAAAAAATTAAAAATAAATAAAATATACAAATTTGGATGTTAATGGCAACTGTCTTCATTGCCAAATGTAAATATTTCATTACAAGTTAAATATACACTAAATATGTAGCAATATTCCAACACTAGTCATACCCTTCAGTGGTCAAGTACATCCATTAAGAGTTCATTATATTTGATGTTATCATCAATTTTTAACTTGGTATAAGGAATAGTCTACAATTAAAAAATGGTTGCAGCAATGTATACTTGTTTTTAGCAAATGTATTTTAGTTTGGTTAATGTTGCCTCATTCTGCTAATCAAATTTGATTAAAAGAACCCCAAGATCAGTAGCAGTTATAACAGTCAATATACTTGTCTTCTAGTTATCTTGGAAGCAGGTGAGAAAGCATCTCTTCACAAAAAAAGAGACACAATCTCAGGGCTACAAAGGTAGATACATGTCTTTAGGCTCTGGTTCAAACATAGACAACTAGTACATCAGTGCCTGTGGGAACAGTGAAAATATTTTATACCTGTGCAAGAAGTAATAACATCAACATCAGCTTGAAAAGCTCTCCAGAGAATTTCAGAGGGCTAGCCAGTGAAAGCAGCAATGCTCTTACACCTTTGTAAAATGTCCCATCGCTAGATACCCTCAGGAAAAAGGCAGAATCAACATTGCAGGAAATACGAGTGCTTACTCTAAAAGGACATCTAGGACAGTATTATCAATCTGCACAACAGGAACTGGATGTTTCACTGTATTTTAACATCACTGACATTTAATGTGTGTAAACAGAGAACATTATATAAAAATTAATATATTACATATATTGCATTATAAATACAATCTGTGCTTGTTTTATTGTTTGAAAACTACATCAGCACTGAAATCCTACATAAGAACAAGGTATGCGTGTGTTAGCCTTTCCATACTTGAGCTACTAATCAATAAGCTGCATGTCATTACAGTGACAGATTGTATTAATCTTAATTTTATATGAATTTCCCACAGTATAAGATAAGTCATGAAACAAGTGTAGATATACAAAGTCAACTTGAAAGAGAAAACTTTTGCATAATTAAATCAAACTTTAGGGAAAAAAGTGACTTCCGTTATTTCTCTAGATAATTTTAACGTGTGTGAGAAAACAGATAAACAAAACAAAAAATGTTTAGTAGTTTGTATAAATTACCTGGAAGATTCTTTAAAATGTTTGTAATACATAAGCCTGATTCAATTCAGTTTAGTTTTATAACACAGACCTACCTGAAACATAAAAACCTAAAAAGTCAAGATTTCAATCAAAATAAACCTTAATCTTCTATTGGGGAATTCTTTATAAAGCTGAGTGTTAACTTTATAAATCTGTCCCCATAAGGTAAATCTGCAACTCACATAAGAATGATAAATCACATTAATGTGATACTAAATCATCCAGGCTCCTTTTTCATCACAGTTGCTTCAGAGAATATAACATAGCTTAACCCCTAAATAGGCACTATTAAAAGAGGCAAGGAATTAGTTCGAAGTCCTAACACTGGAAAGGAGCTCAGGGAGGTTGCAAAGTAGAAAGCTGCACAGAATCTCAAGTCTCAACTGCAAATTTTGTTTCCATCTAATTTAACTCCAAAGCTTTCAGACTCAGAAATGTCACCATGTAACATCAACAAGCCACTTCAATCAAAATCAAGTTACCTTGGCACTGCACAGTCCTCAGAGTAGGTAATTTAAAAGGGAAAATGAGAAATTAACTCTCTTTTCACATTCCTTTTATTTCCTCCTGATGCCAGAGTGATTAGATTTCAAAAGAACTGCTCTGAAACATCATTATCCTCAAACACCGCGCTCAGGCGAGGACACTTGCTTTGCAACTGAGCCTTTCTCTGCCATAAACAGTCACTTGCTGCAGTGCAGAAGCTCAGATTAGTCAGTCAGAACTTTCCCTGCAGAAATTCAGCGCGATGCAGTCACCCAGAGAGAGCAGCACTTACCTTAATTGAAATATTCTCTGTGAACGAGGCGAGAAAGCAGGCGAGTCAACCGCGAATGGGGTGGCGAGATCGAAGTTTCCAATCAACACCCTCCAAGTAGCTGCGCGCTGTGCTCTTTCCGTGTTTAAGTGGAGCTCCTTGCTGTCTAAGGAGAGAAAGGGATCAGCTGAAATCCTCAGAGGTTCCCAGTGAGTCAGTGCTTCCTAACGGGAGAGGCTCCGGCAGCACGCTCCGTTTGGAGGCTCCCTAACAGCTGTGACAGACTCCAGCGTGTCCCTGGAGCCGGCCGATACTCATTGACCTGATTAGCAGGGAAACGCTCTTGGTGCACAGGCAACACTCCAGACTGGTGGTGAGACTCCCCGGGGTTGGAAAAAAGGCACCAAGACTGCCTGGGCATTTTGCTTTCTCTAGCTTCCGAGATGAAGTACAACCATGATAATTTGCAAACAGATTAGACATCACGGGACTTAAATAAATGTGCTTTCTCCTGCCGCTATTTCAAGGCGCAATCGTGTAAGATATCAGGTAGTGAGAAACAATTAATAGACTGGAAAAGCTGATTTGTAAGACAAGCCTAAAGGTGAAACATGTTGAAAGCATTGTTATAAAAGATAGCTGTACTTGTTGTTGCCCCTAGCCTGCCACATACATCAACCTTTGTCTAAGTAAAATGAATTTAAAGGCTTATTACAGCTCTCCAGGGTGCAACAATCTGAATATATAAAAAGGAAATATTCACACTAAATAAGCATATTTGGCAGTTCAGTTCTGTTGAGACACATACACACACATTCAAAACCAAGACAAGAGGAATAGAGTATTACTTGCACAGTTTTTTCAGAGAGCATTTTAAGTTAGCACCACACTTGTGAAATTATTTGTATCAGACTATTCATCTCAGCAAAACAGGAGAGCACAGCATGGCAAAACTGTCTCCTCTGTTACCTACTGAGATGCTGATTTCACTACACAACCTGCCAGGGCGTAAGAAGGTCCAAAACATCAAACACCTTTCTACATCAACCTGTGGATCCCCCTGCCTCATGCACTGCTTGTCGGTGACCGTCACTGTACTTCCCCACATCGAGTCCACTCCCAGCTGCCTGAACAGCTCTCATTCTCTGGGAAAGGTCACTTAACTGAATGTCAAAACCCCAAAGGGTTAATTTTTGACAGTTCTCATTTTTGCAGGAGAAAAGTTATGCAAAGAACATGAAAGAAACAGACGAGAAAAGCTATTTGCATGTCTTGAGTGTGAGAAGATTCTCATTGCCAGAGAGAAAACTAACAACTGTCCTTAGCATGATACTGGGCGATATGTTCAGCACTTCTGTTTTCTCAAGTAGGTCTCACTTGAGACATATGGTGTACACATGTGCACGTATGAGTGTGTGTGTGTGCGCGCGCATGTGTGCATGTTTGGTTGGGGGGTGTGTGTGAGAGAAAATCTGAGAGAGAAACTATCCGTGCATAGTGATATTTGCATGCATCTTGGAAAATCCCAAAGTTTAAAGGAATGTGCACAACAGGCATGGCAGACAAGTGTGTTCCTTATGCAAAGGATATTTCCAACATTCAAAGGAAATGAAATTACAAGTTAAGTTTACTATAATGCATGATTTTTTTTTGTAACTTACACGCACAAAGTATCTTCAAAACTTCACAGAAAGCAAGTATTACAGAAAAATTATACATAGGTTCAAGATTCTTGGTAACAAAATAACCTTACCTTTTAATTTCTTCTTCCGTGAACTTTCTGAAGTTAAAATTGTTCTTCAGTAGATTAGGGGGAAATTATTGCTTTACAACACAAATCCTTTTTTGGAGCCTCTCAAATAAAATAAAACTTTAGGGTAACCCAGTGTCTGAAAACAGGGCAGATACTTAAAAAGGAGATGTTCCCCCTCAGATCGTCCACCCGGAAAGCCCCGGGAAGAGGGGTTGCTACAGCCTCTTGTAGGGAAGTAGAACTCTTGCTCCCTCAGCTGGTGCAGGTTGAGAGTTGAAGGTGAAGTCATCTACTCAATACACTTCAGAGAAAGGAAGATGTTTGCTGCTGCTAAGCAGGAAACCATTATCCAATTATAGACTAGTGTAGAATGTTCCAGTAGGAAAGAGACTGCTTAAATGGAAATTGATGCACCTTGACCATAAATAGTAAACAGGAAGTATAACTGCTAATTTCTTCAGAGCACCACTTGTAAATGAAAATAGGATGGATTCCATTGTACTAAAGTGTAGTCAGTCAACTGTGCAATTAAAGCACTATTTCTCCTGTTAGTACAAACTTCTAAGGATCTTAATAGTGATGTATTGTTTCAAACATTTACAACTTCAGGACAGAGCTTACTTTATTGAACCATGCCCACTGGCAATTACTGTCACAACTAAACCCCGAGCCTATACAGATACATCCTGTGCCACAGTAGTTTACAGCTGAGAATTCTGACTGCCTAAAGTTGCAATGATGGGGGCCATCTGCGTGGGATGTCAGTGGGGCCTGCATCCCTTCTTGAGCTCCAGTTCACACCCCAGCTGCTTCACTTCCAATCTAGCTCCCTGCTAAGGTACCTGTGAAAGCAGCAAGGGTAGTCCCAGTGTTTGGGTGCCTGCACCCACATGGGACACCTGGGAGAAGCCTCTGGCTCCAGGAATCACTACTGAGGCAGTCTGGGGGGTAAATCAGCATATGAAAGACTGTTTTTCTCCCTCTCTGATTCTAACTCTTCCTTTCAAATAGCTAAATCTTTTGCAATGATGATGATTCCAGTTAATCAGTATCCCGCATTTGCATGGGATCTAGGCGCTTCCCATGTTAAACATACTCCAAATAAGTGCCGGTATCTTTACAATTTTTAACCTAGCTTGATAACACTTAATTGATTCTTATGTAGAAGGGTACACCTGAATGTAAAAGCAGAATAAAACTACTCGGTGGGGAAAATGAGGGGAAGTAGTGGTGTGTTGTCAGGCAACACACAAGAAGTATTTAGTCTGGGGCACGTACGTTGGGTACACTTTTGTTGTAGTTTTTATCTAGGAAATAGTCTAATGCCACTAGACAGGAAATAATTTTTGAAATTTTCTCTTATATGCATTGTAAATTCTGTGATTGCAAATATTTCCCCTCCTATTCTAATGGTGGGGAAATGAGGCATTTAAAGATGGAGAGATCCTTCTGTGATCTTCTGTGATGCTTAGTGGAAAACTCAACGTTCCCTTTCCAGACAAGTGTAGTTTTCCACTGTGCCTAAGCAATCTGTCTGGGTCATGTTGGAGTCCAGTTGGAATCTAAAGAGAAATGCAAACAGAGCCACTCTGTATTTACATAGGTTTGTTCTAATGAAGGAAAAATGGCTGTGAGCATATGAGGGACCTAGGAGTCAGAGATTTCTTCCTCTTTGCTTCTCACACTGTTCCTAGGCTTCTGCCAGCTTTGGCTTTTAGTACGTAAATCTGGAATGTACTAACACAGCTGTTGAAGTAGTGGTCTTATCATCTTAGATGAATTTAAATGGGTTTTGTTAAATAACTTTGGATTTAGTTATGTTCTCCTTCTAAGGCTCTGCACTGATTTAATTATCAAGATTAGGTCAACCTAAAAACATTAATGGCAATTGCTGTAAGTATATAAAAAGGAAGCAGGCATCCTAATAACAAATTGATCTTTCAGCAGTACTGTTGGGATAATACTATCACAAGAATGTTTATAGAATGCTAATTGATCCTCCTATATTATGTGTACTTCTGTTTATCTCTGAGCCATGAACACTGGTTGAACGTAAACATCTCACATTTTGTTCCTGTTTCACTATTATCTTTGACCTATTATCTTGAAATATAATGGAATTTAGCAAAATAGAAAGATAGTCTGGAAAACAGAAACCTTATACTATTGTCCAAATTACTGACAGAAACTGGCTTTTAGCCATTTAAAAAGCTCTGGTTAGTAATCTCATTGGAAAATATAAGGGAATTTTTGTTATTCCTCACATATCAGTCAACTACAAAAGTGCATTACTTAATTAATCATTCGTAATGTTCTTTCTTCTAATTTAGAAATAAGCAGAAGTCAAGAAAAAAAGTTGTGCACAAATCCACTATTTTTGCACCTCTTCCATCCTTCCACACCATTAACAAATTTTTAGAAATAACATCATAAGAATATTTTATTACATGGTTCAAGGCATGTAACAGTAGGATGAGAAATACAGATCCAAAATCATATAAGGAATAGATGAGAATATTGCTAAATCAGGATATTCCTTTAATGTTTTAATGTAACAACATAAATGTTTTACTGCAACCAGACTGAACACTTAGCAGTTTCTTTATTGTCTTGATCAGTAAAAATGAAAGGTAATTCATTTAAAATGAGAATTATAACCGGGAAGCATACTTGAGAATAGACCTGTGATATTTATACATTTTGTTTATACAACCACACTTCCATTTTAACAGTTACTTCACAATCACACAAAAAGCACAGTACGTAATTAAAAGAGAAGGATCGCCATTGCCAGGACATAATTGGTTGGCATTTTAGACCTTTCTTATTAGCTCAGTTTTATTTTATTTTGTGTCTTTCGGAAAAGACCATTGAGTGCCAGCAAATTGAAGTATATTATACTTAAAGTTTTAAGACTATTATATTTAATTTATATTAAATCTGCTTACGGCCACTGAAAATTAATGTTGACTAAAATCACTCTCAAGTAAAATTAAAAAACCAAGTGTATTTTCTACTAGACTAAACTATCACTAAATAAACACACATATGGAATAATATTAATGAACAGGGTTTCTTAATAGGAAAAATCATGCTTATATCTTCACCAAGGTATTTTTAATCTTTTTGAAGGATCAGGATGGCAAAGGATAGAGTAAACAAGATCTTAGAAACAATAGAATGTGAATTTATTTTACCAAAAAGTTAATAAGATTATACAAACAGAATGTAAATGTTTTAATTTTTAAGTATACACCACATATTGAATAATCGTAAAAATTATCACTAATATAATATAAAGCTACTGTAAAGGTTATTGGAAATTAATGTAAAGGTAATTTTTGGTCAAAATACACTTGAAATCCATGTACACAAGGAGTCTTAAAAAATATTTAAACTGCATATTATAATAAAATTATGCATTTTTTTCAACTTTTTTGGCTGAAATACACTTATATAAATTCATGGCACATGACATTTTGATGTATGCTGCCCAATCCATTAAAATAGTTAAAATCAG